GAAACATTTTAAGGAATAAATCTTAATTAGTAAAATAATAATCTAATATCCACTAGTTTAAATTTTGTTACGAAATTACTTCATAAAATCTTCCATTTATTTTTATTACAGGAATTCTACAGCAGATTCTTAACAATAAGATACAAGTTGATTAGTTCCTTGTAATGCCAATTATATTCATAGTGTATTACCACAGTGTAAATACTTACAGTGGGTCAACGCTTTTGAAGTTCTGTTAAATGCTGCTTTTGTCTTGACTCTAGACCAGTAGCTTTTAACTATCTTGGCTGACGACATAAAATGTAAAAATATTCGTCGTTTTTGCAGGATTCTTACATTTTGATTTATTTAGTACTAGTTTTCCACCAGCGTCTTCGCCTGCGTAGTTTATACGATAACTTGACACTACATTTATCCCAAGGGAACCGTTTAGCGAAATAAAAACAACCTGTATGTTATTTCAGACTTAGAATTGTCCGAATTTCATCAAAATCCGTTCAGTAGTTTTTGCGTGAAAAAATAACAAATCTTCGTCTGTACATCCATTTTCGCAAACTTGCATTAATGATATTAGTAGGATAGGTTTTTATGGATAATATCAAGAATATAATGTTAAGTAATTAGTGCTTACAGCACGTGTAGACAGATTGTAAAAATAACAAAATATACCAATTCTAATTAGCGAATCCCAAGCGTGTGTATGGTGTCTTTGGCTCGATGATTTGTGATCACTTTGTCTAGATTTAATCGTTGACCGACTGTGAGATCTATGTAGACTGTGGTATTATAATTCAATTGTTCTGGTGGACAAATCTGTTTGCACAGGTGCATTGCATATCCTTAATATATTTATTGCAGGTGTACTCATTATATTAGAACTGAAAAATCGGTCCATCTTATATTTACTTAAAAAAAATAAAACGGAAATGTATAAATTATGACGTACTTATTGATGTGATACGATAGTTGTTTCGGAAACTGCGAGATGAAATAGTCTTTGATCTCTTATGCGAAATATAATTTAGTAATAAATAGAATTTAAAGATGTTCATTACGGTGTATTAATTATAACAATTTGGTTTTTGTCTCAATCAGTGTATTTAAATGTATATTGTAACTCCAGTTTCCCTAGGATTATGATCAATCGTGAGATTCTAAAAATGTTATAAATATTTAGGTATTTTGGAATTTACAATGTGTTCATTGTATATCTAGTGTTGCTAGTGTAGGGATTTGCCGGCAGTGGCTATTTATCAAATATAATAAAATAAACTTTAATACTATTCAATGGCTGGACGATGCATCGATCAATTTATTTGTTTGATAATAAAAATATTACGATTTGTATGTCTGTAATTATCATTTTTGAGTTTCCTAATTTTTAAATTACTTGTAGTTCACATTAATTTATTGTAGGCATAGTCGTGAAATTAAATTATTTGTCATATGTAATTAATTTCGATCGCATTGTTTGATGGATGTCAAGTTTTGGTTTATACTTATTGTTTATTATTAAGCACCCACAGTAGGATGTATATATTTTTGATTACTTTATAAAAATGTATTTTTTTATTAGCTGATAAAATTTTGATCATTGTATTTTCGAAACTTGATGGTGACATAAATTATGTGCGTTATTATTGTCTGGAATTTGAGGCATTTGAAATGGTAACCAAAGATATGTCACGTTGCAAATACTCCTACGTTTTGACATATGTATTTTTATGTACGCATTTATTATGTAACAGTCGTGAGAAATTGCTCGTTTGATACTGTTTCTTGTAACACATTAGTTTCAATAAATTGTTTTTATTTTAATCAGAGATTTAATGTAAACAATTAACCTGTGGTCCTAAAGAGTTTCCCAAAACATTTTCAATAAGAAAATACGCATAAATAAAAAGCTAACAATACTAGATGATATTAAAATAAAAGATTGTTTTAAATAAATGAAGACAACACGCTAGCCTTGAGAACTTAATACAAATAATGCTAACCGAAACTAAGTCAAGGTTATTTGATCAATAGACAAAAGATAACGTCATTATATTATTCATTAACTGAATGGTTTAAATAGAAGAGACAATTTTTTTCATTTTATATATACGCATTGCGTATGCAAATGAATTTAAACAAGGTTTTCATTACATAAGTTTTAGTTTTATTTAAAAAAATACATTATCACTGCATGCATATATCTACATAAAATACTGAAATTGGGTCTATGATAAATACAAACCGTTTTAGATTAAATATTTTTCGTTCAGCATTTATATTATATTGGACTTGGAACCACAGTGGTTAAAGTATGGCCCGTTAATATAAGCTGATTTCAAATAACGTCCGCTAAAGGATATAAATATTAAACTAATATAGTATGTGGAAAACTAATTTACTAACTAACTAACGAAACTAATTTCAATAATCAAAAGGCATATACTGTGTGTTCATCTCACTCGCACTCTCTCCCTACTTTAATCAATTTGATCGGCTAGGATTTGCCACAATTAGGAATATAATCTTCTGTGCAGGTACATTAGTGAGCAAAATTAGTTTTATTTTATTGTACTACTCAAAGACGTGATGCGTACATGAGAGAAAAGGACAGACACATTTTTCTAAAAAAGTAATTTTTTTTTTTATAACTTAAATAAAATACAATTTATAAGTATTATCATTGAATATTTTAAAAAAGACCCTTTTTAGTCCCTGATAAATAACATTAATCAATTGGATTTAAGAGCTTATATTTTTAATATAAATGAATTTATAATATAGTAATAATAAAAGTGATATATTCAAAACTTGCATGAAGCGTAATGTGAATGTAATATATTTGCGAAAGTATCAAATGAGCAATATTGTGTATTGGTGTCCTGAATATTGACTATATTATTACTTTTATTATTGATGTTACGCTGCATAGAGCATCGCCTGAATAGTTCTGACTCGATCCTTTGAAACAAATAAAAAGATAACTATAATGTGTTGTTTTCATTATATTCAAATAGCTATTTTGGTATAAATTTGAGAAGAGAGTAATAATCAAATCATTATTTAAACTGTATTAAAATACTCTTTAATTATGTTACATATATAAAAGCTTGGAGAGAATTTTTGTTTTAATAAAAAAATATAAATGACTAAATGGCTTGTCCCAAGACTTGTTAGTAAAAATCTTATAAATTTTATATGGGCAGATTGTATTATCTATTATATTTAATAATATCATGTTGTAAAAGAATTGGAGATGCCGGGGATCGAACCCGGGGCCTTTCACATGCAAAGCGAACGCTCTACCACTGAGCTACATCCCCTATACAATTCTCATACATAAATGGATATTGTACTGAGCACTTACTGTTGTGTAGATAAAGTGAATGTCTGAGAAACAATAAGGTCGAGTGGTAAACGAAATGAATTTGAGTTATTGTATATCTATCAGTATAAACTCAAAAACCGGTTTGGTAATTCATAGGTAAATTTATTTAAAAATATCTGTGAATGCCGGCTCTTTGAAGTTAAGGGCTCGCTAGAAACACCTAAAAGTGGTCAGCGACGATTTGAACTATATGTAGTGGCTACGAATCAGATCATCATCATCATTAGTCCTGTTACGTCCTCATCGCAAGGGCCCAGTAAGTGCCATAACTCTCAACGCTGGCTCAATGTGGATTAAAGATTATTAACGACTATAAATACAGCCGGGCTTAACGTGATAATAATTTTTTGGTCACCCATACCGTGACGGACCCTTGCGAAAGTTGCTTAGCAACAATGTTTGCGGGCCGCGACGCTTATCAATACGCCATCGAGCTTCTACGAATCAGTTACCTAGATTTAAATTTTGCGTTAGCAACATAGAAAATATATAATGTTAGCAATAAGAAAATACACCAATCTGTCCAATATTTGATGTGGAAAAAAGGGATAAGTTATTATGATAGGAATCGAACTAGAAGCCTTCTGCAATTCCTTGATATTAAGTGCATTCTGCTGGTGTATTGGGCCACTTTATTATTTATGCAAGTTGTAATAGCAATTAGCATATTTAAAATATCTAGCAGAATTAAAACATGCGAATGGGACGATTTTATTTACACCTTGTAAATAAATGACATTGATTTCTGACGATGCAGCGCGTAACTATGTGCGATGGTTCATGTGTATATATCGCAGCCGAGTGGTATAGTCCACCGATAAATTGGGCGGCTAGCCCTTTAATTGAATGGCGTCATTCGATTAACAGACTGACTTTCGATCAGCCGAGTTGCGGTACTCAACGTTCGGCAATAAGGCTGGATGAAGGTAAGCCAACTAATTAACTGTCAACTTACCAGGAACACCAATATTTATTGGTAGGATTAAGCAGTATAACAAAATATATATTTAAGTGGGTGACTAGTTACTTTTTGTAATTGATTGACAGATACAGGACTGGTAATACAGTTAAGTAACATACTACTTATTAGGGTACAAACGATTTGCATGATCCAATACAGGAAACACATCCATGTTTGTGGGTTAAGTACGCTTGTGGGTTAAGCAAAAATTTTCATAATTAATTCTTAATACTAATACAATTATTGCATAGACAAAATATACCCCGATTCAGACGGCCACAACGCCATCTATCAAAAGCAGAATAAGGACTGCGATGGTTTTAGTATGTTCATTACGATTTCGAAGCTACAATAGTTAATAATAACATAAAATGATAAACAATGAAGTTTTGGCGGCTTTTAAATCAGACTGATTTAAAAGCGCGGTTGAAAGGTCTAAATGTCATAATGGTTTTACTACAAAACTAGGCGTGCAATTGAATGGCGCCATCCAATTAAATGGCGAGCCGCCCAAATGAGCTGCTGTTTTAACCAGTTGGATACGATATATACAAATAACACTAAAACTTTCTTTCGCCTCCTTTGGCGTATTGCATTCTGATAGACATGAGTTTATCCTTAGGCGGTAGGTACTTATCAGTAAAATACGGCAATGTTCTAAACAAAGTTTTTATTAATATAATCAACAAAATAATACTTATATGTTAAATAGCTACACAATTGTAAAAATATATGACTAGATGGCTAATATCTTCATGTAGTTATGTTGGACTTATTGTCTAAACGTTATACAGTTTCTATTATCTATAGCCATAGACAACAAAAATACTAAATTCCAATGATTTATATAATGTGCACTTAAAACTTTAACAAAATAGGCACTTTCGGTCTTGTTTCAGATTGTTTAACGTAGTAAAGTACCAGCATCTAAAACAAAACTAGAACCAGTAATGCCTTTAGCTTTGTCACTAGCTAGGTATCCTATCAGAGCAGCTACCTCGTCGCCTTCAACGGATTTCTTGAGAGGAATGTTACTGACAACGTTCTTCACAAACAACTCTAGCTGATCTTCACTTAAGCCTATGTTTTTTAGTAAATTTGTTTTCACGAACCCTGGACTTACAGAATTCACTCTAACACCATCTGGCGCTAATTCTAAAGCAACGCATTTTGTGAAATGGTCTAACGCAGCTTTCGATATGTTGTAGGCTAATGCCATCGTACTGGGTTTAGTACCAGAAACGCAAGAAATGTTTACTATACATCCTTTACTGCTGATTAAATGTGGGACCGCTAACTGTGTTAAATGGTATACAGCTCTCATATTTGTCGTCATCACCTTGTCATACGTTTCTAAAGTAGAGTTCTTAATGCCACCCATTCCGACGACACCAGCATTGTTAATAAGAACATCTAATTTTCCGTGATTTTCAATTGTTTCCTTGATAATTCTCTCGACGTCACTTTCGACCTTGACGTCAGCAACTATAGATTGTGCCGCGATTCCTTTGGCTTTTTCACAGTACAAGGCTATCCTTTTAAGATTCTTCTCTGTGCGGGCTACTAGTACTAATTTGGCGGATAATTTTGAGAAGTGAATTGCTGTGGCTGCACCTATTCCAGAACTGGCTCCAGTTATTATCACAACTTTGTCGTTGAAGTCCATCTTGTTTATGAGATTTTTCTTTTAATAATGTAAATACAGGTAAGCAGCTGTATATAACACCGATACAGTGGGCGCGACCTACAAACTTCCCTCTATGACAGTCGCTGTTAAAGTTAGGTTAAGATAAATGATGCATTTCGTCACAGACTGAATATGTTACTAGCGGAGTATCCCTGTTTGCTACTATTTAAAACCACACATACTTCAATCTTCAGAAATAGATTATCCTGAAATGATTTAAAGTGGAAGGTATAGGGAAAGGCAACTTTTTTACATTTATGTGCAGTTAAGAAATATTAAAGATTTTTAATATTACTTATCAAAGAAATGAAGAGTATAAAATGTCAACAATCTGTAGACATCTGTAGAATAGTAATATCTTTCTTCAAATGACTCTATTAACAACAATATCTTTAACCAAATTCCGAAGAGGATTTTTTCTGCAGGTTTTATTAGAAAAAAAATATGTTTTTATTAATTTTATTTGTTATTGTGATAAAAAGGCGATACATAATTACAATTATTTTTAAAATTCAATATTATAATTGTATTGATTATGCTAATAAGAACTGATATGACATTTTAAAATGTTCTAATAGTAGGACCTGCCCTTGTATAAATTTACTTTACGAGTAGAAAGATTCGCATAAGGGCAACACAAGCTCGTTACGTCACTCTGCTGTGTAAACGATTCGTGCCGTGAGACGTGATCCACGTGAGGCGCGATCGTAAACAAATCAAGCATGAATATGGTTAATACTACAAGTGCAGGAAAAGCGCCTGTTACATAAATATGAGCAAAATTACAGGTTATATGAATTCTTTTAACTTGACTCTTTAAGGTCCTCTTGTTCTTCCGCTTACGTTCCCGTACAAATATGCATCGAAAGTCTTTACGTTCGATGAGTATTTGTTGTATGTCTTTACAGAAAAAAACAAATGCAGTTATAAAAAAAACGTATATTTGAATAACGTTGCATTCACAATGCTTTTGTATTCAATTTTTTTTGTACACTTTAGATCAGAACCTATTTTTTTTAAATATAGTTAAGATAAAATATATGAGTCCTAGAAAAACCTGATTAAAATTATTTTCGCGGTTTTTTCTATCGAGCCAATTATTGAAATTTATGTTTCTGTTTTTAGTAAGCAATCGATCATATGTTTAATTTTCATAAAATGATTTTAATTTGGCAATTATTAGTATAGCTTTAGAATAAAATTGGTTTAAAAAATGGTATTTTCGTACAATCTCGCCTTAATAAATATAACAAATTCAGTTAGTTTATAGTTACTTGTGATAGGTACTTATCATTTGTCATCCGGTTTCAAGGTGTCGCCATCTCAGAGGCCCCGCGTTCTAATCTCGGTCGGGTCAATGTAGAAAATGGACTCCGATCTGGGTCTTGTGATGCGTCCGTTGTCTCAGAAACTTCGTAATACGGGGCTTTAGGTAATCATCTTGGAAGCTGAGCACCAGTATGTGATGTTGTCTAATATTTATTTGATTTTTTTATTTTATTTTAAGATATGAACAACACATTAACTATAATTTATATACAAATTTTGGTAAAAATACTTTTAGATTTATCTTTGTTATTTTTGTGTACGATATCGGATATAAAATACAACATTATGCTATAACAAGTTTATAGTCACGTTTTCTTGGACCGTTTAGTCGAACTTGTCGATATATCATGTTCTGTCCCGGAGCTTGGTTCGTGAGCAAAACTTGAGAACAGTTATTCAACGATTATGACAACTGGAAATGATATATAACTTGCATTGTTACACAAATACATATTTCTAACGGTAACAAGCGCATTAACGCACATGATCCTTTAAATGGTGGTGTACATGATCCATTAAATGGTCTAAAAAAAAAACATGAATATTAAACTGCAGTTGCTTAGTATACCATCACTTCTTTTTATAGTGTAACGTTTCCATATCGAAAGAAAGATGAGCTTTATTCTAAGAAACCTAATTATTTATAGGTAAAGAAATTTAAATTCGTTTTTCATTACCTGATATGGCCAAACGTAGACTTTAAAATATCATTAATGATTACTTAAATACTGATGTTTGTATCATATGATAGACAGATACTTCCTCATAAATCGTTTATCTGATTTATGAGGAAGTATTAAAAAAAAAACATTAGTTTTCGATATTAGTTCAATATTAGTTTCCGAAATCAAACTAGATGTCGCTACGGTACTTTCTTGATTTCTCCATGACTACCCTTCCGGTTTTCTTTCATGTATAAAATCAAAATCATTTTCAAAACTCAATAAACAACTCATATTCTATTTGTTCTATTTCGTATTTGTATTGATATCGAAGTTTCGAAATTTGCAAACTTCAGTTTTTTAATATGTTAGTTAAAAGGAACGGAAATGACTATCTGTGGTCCATTCGTTTCCTGCAAAAATCAACCTTTGCTAGAGTCGCCATAGTAAGGTGCTTTTTCCCTTTTTTAAAATATATTTCTCATTGAACTCCCAAAAATAGTCACTTTAAGTTTGCCACATCATAAAATTGGGTTCTAATAAAAATAAAACCATTCAAATCGATTTAGCTTTATTTCATTCTATTATATTACGTAAGTAAAAAAAAATATAAAAAATATCATTAATATGTAGGTAACGAATTACAAAAAATATAGTTTTTTTTGTGATGGTCAAAAAAAAATCAAACATCGGGCATAACCAGAGTCTTATAAGGGGCACCGAAAATGCCATCTAATAGAATTCCTTCGGTCTAGCTAAATCATCTGATATCAGTTTCTGGGGCAGCCATTCGTCTTAGGACCACATTTACATATAGAACATTCCAATATATCAGTTTGGCTACGAATGCAATTTGTGAGTGGTGCCTATAAATAACTATATGTGTGACGCGCGGCGATCCTTCTATAAGGAAGCGCGCATACTTAGCCCAAAAAACTGTCGTCCTTTTCATGACTACGGTACAACGTTAAAAGAGGTCTTTCCATGTATAATTTTACAATTACTTAGCGTTGAATAGGCCCCGAGTCCCGTAGTTGAAAGAGTTTTTTAAATCAATATATAAATTCTTATTATTAGTAGGAATTTAAGAGCATGAAATGTTTTTTCGAAGTACTTAGAAACTGTAATAGATTTAAACCCACATCTACAACAATCTTAGTTATAGAAAAAACTTATTTCCTAAATATTTATTTAATTATCAACAATGAAACAAATACTACAACACGTCGTGTACGTGTATAAACAAATACTACAACACATACGTGGCTGTCATTGCCTTCCTAATTGGGAAAATTAAAACAGGTGCTAAAAACCAACCAGCAGTTTTTCACTGTACGGTGTTCTTTTATGCTTTAGCGGGCTCCAGCTTGGTCTATGGTTTCCCGCTATTATTTGACAGATGCGTTCCGTTTCGTATTCGAAAACCCGGTGGTATTTTTCCAAAGGTCCGATGAAATCAAGTGTGAAATTCAATTGCGCACGTATATATTTTGTTGCATATGTGTGCAAATGAACGAGAAATGTGCCAGTTCTGTATCAATGTTTTGATATTGACAGAGTAAAGTCTAGTAAAATATTTGCATTTATGTAGTTCAATAACTTCAATTTTATAGGAAAATTGGGAGCTTTTCAAATTTTTCGTTGTCTAAAAGGTAATTTGGATCTATTACTTACATAAGAAAACATCTAAACAACATATAAATGTCCTCTGTTGTATTTGAAGTTGAGTAGGTAATACTATTCCGCCATTTGCCTTGCAATGACACTATCTATCTTGTGAGAGTACTGTATATTTCTACTTTCTCGGTACCATAGATCGCGCAGCACATAAAAGATTCAGTTTTATACCTGTTAAACATGGCACTCTCTGCGATCTATAGGGCTCCACTGATGTATCGGCCAATCTTCCAATTGCTGGTGTAGCTATATTTGCGAAGCACGAATCGGTCTCGTTAGTTTTTGTTTTGAGGGTTCTGTACCTCAAAAGGAAAAATAAGGAAACTCTTATTCACAATTTTTTCCATTTGTCTGTTCAGACCCTTTAATTTCAAGAACGCGTAATGAATGACTTGAAATGATACATAGTATTCAGGTCTACAGTCCCTCGAAGCTGTGAAAAAATTAATAATTCCAAATTAACGTAAAATTGGTACGGCCGTTCATGCCACAAAAAACACATATTACGATATTCAAAACTGTGCTCAAAGTTTCAAAGAAAACAAATTTTGATAGGGTACCTATTTTCATAATAATATTATAAGTTGTAGCGTCACAAAAATTTTATAAGCCAGATATATTTGTGATTTGTTATTGGTACAACCGTCTAAGAGGACAAAAGCTATCGCAAGCACCTCGCAGTGAATCAAGTTGTAAAGCACGAAAGCTTCGTCAGCAAAAGTGGTGCTTAAATTTTCTTGTAGATGGCGCTGAGTGGGTGATACAGTATTACAGAAATAAAAAACTTTGTTTTTAAACAGCTTACTATGACAATGTGATTTAGGTATACTTATATTTTAATTTTGAAATAAATACTTTTGAAGATTAACGTATTCCTAACTCTCCAAAACTACTGAGTCTAAAAATATGAAAAAACTGCTCAAATGCGAGTTGGAGTCGTGCACGAAGGGCTCCGTACCAAAAACGACCAACAAATTGCGTTTGTTTTACGGGAGCCCTTAAATATTTACTTTTATTCTGGTTTTTGGTTTTTGTTGTTGAAGTGGCAACAGAAGTACATCTTCTGTGAAAATTCTAACTGTCTAACTTTCACGGTTCGTGAGATACTGCCTGGTGACAGACAAACAGACAGACAGCGAAGTTTGAGTAATAGAGTTCCCGTTTTGTCCTTTAGGTATAGAACTATAAAAAAGAGCATGTTCATTATAGTGCCCTTAATAGTAACAGTTTGTTACCCAGATAAGACAACCCACCATCTACTCGTACATAAATGAAGTAAGTAATCGTATAACTTATTCCTTTCATATACTTAGTTGAGTTGGCTTGAAAGTTCTTTCATGTGGCTTGGTTGCACCAACAATAACCTTTGAAAATAATAACCTATTAATGTACCATTTGTGATGTCATAACTTTA